TTGATACTGGAGCCACAGCATGTTATATAAAAAAGGGAATCTACCCGAATAAATATGAATTACCAATACACAAAAGGGTGTCGATTATTAATGGTCACACCATTATTAAATATTACCATAACATAGTTATATTTAACGTTAGACAGAGATTCTATGAAGTAGAGGGCTTAGAATCTGATTTATTAATAGGATGTAACCTCTTGAAAAGAATAGGTATTAAGATCGATATATTATAAAATTATAATTTATTATAAATTATAAAATACAACGGAAAAGAGGAAAGATTACGTTTCGATGACGATAATGCATCGAATATAGCATTATTAACAAAAGAGAACAATATTCTCCCTTTGAGAGAATTTATCCTAAAAAAATATTACGAGAAACAGGAAGCACTTACAACAGAATCAATTATTGTAGAGGATAGTATAGATAGCTCGGGTTGTAGTTATCCTGAGCATACTGGCGTAGAAATATCCGCCACCAATAATAGTGTATCCAACTTGGGATTCAATAATCCCGAGAACGCCAGCGATGTTCCTTCCGCTAATCAAAAGTACACTAGTTTCGGATTACAAAGTCCGGAACACGCCGTCGATGATAATTCCGACAATTATCAAATTAATAATATTTATAATGTCCCTTCCAATCAAACTGAAAAATTGGAGCGAAAAATTATTGAAACAATACAAAACGAGCATACAGCAATCGATACCCTCATTCCATTCAGAACAGACGTGAGAGGGGAAATCAACACGATCCATGATAGACCGATATACATTAAACAATATCCTTATGCGCTATCAGTATCCAATTTCGTTAACAACGAAATTAAAAAAACGCTCGAAGCAAACGTTATTAGACCAAGCAAGAGTCCGTATAACTCACCAGCGTTAGTTGTACCGAAAAAAGGGTTCAACGAAAACGGTGGCCCTAAACACAGACTAGTATTTGAATTTAAAATTAAATGAAAATACGATACCAGATCGGTATCCTATGCAGGATCCATCGGTCATTCTGGCAAGCCTAGGCAAGGCAAAATATTTCTCTACACTGGATTTAGAATCACGATTACATCAAATACTCATGAAGGAATCCGATATCGAGAAAACCGCTTTTTCCATTAACAACGGAAAATACGAGTTCTTACGGCTACCTTTCGGGTTGACTAATGCTCCCCGAATTTTCCAAAGAGCCATGGATGATATTTTAAGAAATCAAATTGGTAAAATCTGGCACGTCTATATGGACGATATAATTGTTTTCTCAGAATCATTGTCCCAGCACCATAAAGATTTATTGACAATTATAAAAATCTTACAAGAAGCCAATATGAAAATATCGTTGGAGAAATCCAAGTTCTTCAAATTGGAAACACCTTTTCTTGGCTATATTGTGTCACACAATGTGATAAAAACAGATCCAGAAAAGATAGCAACAGTCCATAATTATCCCCTTCCAAGAAATGTTCGTGAGCTACGAAGCTTCCTAAGCCTAACAGGCTACTATAGAAAATTTGTGAAAAATTACGCCCTAATTGCCAAACCTCTAACAAGGTACTTAAGTGGAGAAAATGGAAAGGTCACGAGACGAATGTCTCCCAAGATTTCCATCCAACTAAACACCGCAGCCATACAGGCTACAGGCTTTCAATGAACTAAAACAAAATCTGATAGCCCAAGCAGAACTGGCAAAACCAGACTACAACAATCATTTTGTTTTAACTACAGATGCCTCTGACATAGCCATAGGTGCAGTTTTATCGCAGGACAACCAATCACGTTTATATCCAAAACCCTAAATAAAACAGAGCAGTTATACGCGACAAACAAAAAAGAATTATTAGCGATCGTATCGGCCTTAAAAAATCTAAGGAATTATTTATATGGGGTAACTGGTATTGAAATACAGACTGACCATCAGTCATTATCGTTCTCGATATCAGACAAAAATCCGAATATAGAAATGAAACGATGGTATTCGTTCATACAAGGATTTACACCTAAAATAGTGTATAAACCAGGAACAACAAATGTTGTAGCCGATGCATTATCCAGGCTAAAGCTAAACAACCTCACTGAAAGTGACGAAGAAAACGTAGATGACTCAGATATTAATACCCAGCATTCAGCCGAAAGTAGTTTCGAGAATATAATTCAGGAAACCGGAAAGCCGTTGAACCAATTTCAACAACAATTGTTTTTAACCACAGGTAGGCTCACGGTACACGAACGCCTAACAGTCTTCGACAAAGTTAGACACATAATCGAATATGATACACCAGAAAATCTTGTATCAATACTGAGACAGTATTTACCTCCCAATATTACAGTAGGAATACACTGTACTATAGAAGACCTATATCAAATTCAGGAATTTCTAAAAAATAACTTCAATAACAAATTTCTTTATACAAGAATATTTTTGCAGGATATTGAAAAAAACGAAGACAAGGCTTTAATAATAGTATTTAGTATTTTGTAGAGCTCATAGGGACTGTATTACTGGCCAAATTTATACATAAAGTTAAAGGAATATATTAAAAATTGCCTAATTTGCAACGAAAATAAATATAATAGACATCGGATCCAGATCCCAATAGGGGAAGTTCCAATCCCAACATAAGAAGGAGAAAACCTACACATCGACATATACTACGCTCAAGAATTAACGTTTTTGACATGTATCGATGCGTATTCCAATTTCCTAGTAGTAAAGGAAATTCAAAACAAATTAAATATCGAAAACAAAGTAATGGAATTGCTACAGCAGTTACCAATGGCCAAAATAATTATGCTAGACAATGAACCTAGCTGATGACTTCATCAAAATACAAAATAAAATCAATGACCTACTAGAAAATAATAATAAACAGTTTATTATCAACTCCAAATTGTTTAAAGAAATAGAATCCCTTTCGGATGAATTTAAACATGTATTTATCGATCAAGATTTACCATTACGAAAACATCGCCTAAGACTTTTAACATTTGATTTGCAAAATTTAATCGATACTATCACATTGGCGAAAATTTATGTCTTTAATACTAATATTTTAAACAATGAAGACATAAAAGAAATACTAAATCACGAACAAAGACCGGTAATCCTTGCAGACCTAATGGATATATCAGTATTCAAAATTGCACTACACTAAGAACTCCTAATAATTTATATAAAATACCCTATAATTGATAACAGGTGCGATATATATTATGCTAAAGCCATCTCCCAAAGCGATGGAAAACTAATAATAAGCAATCAAGTCGCAAAATGCGACGATACGTATTATGAAATGACTACATTTAAGACCGAACTCTTTAACAATTACGGTATAATAAATCAGAAAAAACCTGTTTTACCAAGTTATTAAATGGAGAGAAATCGACTTGTAAGAAAATAAGAGAAAAAAATAAGAAATTAGATATCATCCAAGACGGTGCCATTTTTCTTAGTGGATACAATATAGTTAACAACTCCTATTTAAATGGATCATTTCTAATAACATTTAATAGTACAACCACAATTAACAACATTTCATATACCAATTCAGAAAGTAAAATCCTCGATTACATAACTACAAACCATTTTACAAGCTATGAAATATTCGATTACATTTTGTCAAATAACTCGGAATTCTCTCTAGACAATGTAAACATTCTAAACCCTTTCATTCAAATTAATAACACCAAGATATCACTTTCCCTTATATTATTAATTGTAATTGTTTTATACATCATTTTTGTAATCATATATCTAAGTTTCAAATACAAAAAATTTATATTTGTAACCAAAAAACCACGGCCAGAACGCGAAAACAGCTTGAATCAAACAGAATTTTTAGCAGAGTTACGGGATCACCTACATATATTTCAGAATGAATCGGGACGATCCATTTTAGAAGGCGGAGAGTTTTATAACCCCTAATACAGTGACCCGCATTGGAAGCATAAACACTTTCGTCCAAAACAAGTCCGTTCATTTGTTGCCTTTGTATCTAGCAATTGGCTTTTGCCTTAGCCTTCAAATCAATTCACACAGCTTTGACTTTTATCGTTGCCCATGCCCTTCAGCTGGACCACCAGCGAACATAGACATAAACAGAAGCTTCCGCTTCTACTGCGCATTAGTGCAGCACCAGTTTCATACGAACAGTTTCAAACAATCGAATGTCATCACAAGTCGAAATCAGCCAGCTCAATTCAATTGCAAAAGAAAAAATAAAGTAAACACTATCTGGCCGAGGTTCGTTGGAAGATATCTGGATGTTGTTATATTTTTTCCCTTATATCTTGTAATTTTCTATAGGTTTTCCAAAATACTTTTTGCCACGCCCACAAACCTCCCAAAACGCTCACGCCCACACTTAAAATATGTTTTGCCACGCCCGCTCTACCGCTCACATACAGCAATCTGTCACGCCTACACATTTAAAAAAATGTTAAATTTTTATTCTTTATTTTATATTTTTATACCCGTTACTCGAAGGGTAAACGGGTAAACTAGATTCGTTTTAAAGTATGTAAGAGCAGAAGGAAACGTTTCGAAACATATATTCTTGATCACGATCAATAACAGAGCCGATCTGACATGTCCGTCTATCTGTATGAACGCTTTGGGGTGTTAAATTTTTTTTACTTTTTTAGGGCAAGGTGATCACTATGCGGGAAAGTTCAAAATTTGCAACCGGACGAAAATTGGTGATGCTCCTAGCTCATAATCGCAACATGAAGAAGTAGGCAAAAGTGAAACCGTTGCGAATGGGACCTAAAAATAGGAATAAGAAGATATATCTGGGTTTCAGAGGGGCAGAACCGCCTTCCAGTGGACCCGGGATAGCCTCTGTTGTAGCCGGGATGGTTTCTTTTTGTGATGGTTCCTATCCCAACCTAGAAGGCTAAATCCAATCCTGCAACAAATCCAAGCCAAGAATAGCAGATGCGGCAATATTCATTTAAGATTTACCAAATACATATATTTATTAGCCCACTTACATACATTTATTTAAACTCGTAGAACTCAAAGTGCGGATTGTTTCGGCGTAAGATGGCAATTGCCTTTTCGGTATCAGCTCCCAGAAATGGAGAATTTGACCCTTTTATGATCAGGTAGGGTTTTCTCCGGATAAGCTTCACCAGCCCCTCAGGAACTTCAGATTGCATTAGCATTTGTTTATACTCGGCCATCTCTGGAGAAGTAGAATCTATCTATCTATCTATCTATCTCAACACCTGCCGGTGAAGCAGGTGTTTGGCATACTCTGGGGTCACCGAGTTGTAACTTCCTTTGGCCAAAACCTTGGTCAGCTCTGCGAGGGTGTAGAAGGGAGGCTCGTGCATGTTACCCTTCTCCTGACGGTCCTCTTCCACCAGGTGCTTTTCCATGCTGTTGGCCAAATTTTGCAGAACCGTTTTGGAGACCGGTTCCCACGGCATTAATATATCCAGGGAAATGACCATGTCCACTGTATGTGGTGCCAATGCCGTGTAAATAAAGCTTAAGATGCCACCCAATGAGTGACCCATTAACGAGACCTTCGACCAGCCGTACTCCTTCATCACTCGAGGGATGACATACATGTAATCGTAGACGGCGTAGCGCATTCCCTGTTGAAGGTGAGCGGATCTTCCATGTCCGGGAAGATCGATGCAGACCACTCCGATGTAGTTGGGCAGCAGGGGTATCAACCGATCGAAGGTTCCCAGATTGTCGAGCCATCCGTGAATCGCCGGGATCGGTCGTTCTCGTTCAATCGGTAAGTTAAATTTAACGAGTTATTTATTGTTCATATTTATTTATTTATTTTATTTATTTATATTGTTATTTATTCAATGTGCCAGTGCTAAATTAATCTCGAAATTCTGTAATATATCTGTATGTGTGTGTAATTATTTATCTATTTCTTTATTTATTCTTTATTATGCTCCGCAATATGCCATAAAAACACAAACAAAAATAACAAGGAAATACGACAAAAAATAACACAATAATCGATTTAATACAATTAAAACTTAACTAACCAAAAAAAAAAAAAAAAAAAGGTTGGAGTCAAAGAAACAAATATCTAAATTATACTATACAACAAATAAAAGGCTACAACGCAATTAACCGTTTCGTATACAAACTTAGTCCAACGCTGAAATCAACGTTTTTTCCAAATAAAAAAATCGATTTAAGAATCGAGACTGATTTTTGTTCTCTATTGTTTGATGCTCAGCTTAAGATTGAAAATTAAATGTGAGTGAAATTGAGGAGAAGCCTCTTTGCTTACGAAATATGTTAATGTATTTTGGGAGAGCATTGCTCTTGGATGCTTAAGTTAAAGAGAATCTGTATTGGGAGAGCATTGCTCTTGGATTCTTAAGTTGAGGAGAACCCTCAGAGAGAGCATGCAAAACTGCTTAGGTTAGGCTTTCGGATTTGTTTACATGAATGGCTAAGTGCTGTTGCCAAAGAATTTGTTTATCGTTGCCAGAAAATTTGTTTATCAAAACGCATACTGAGCATATGGCATACAGTACGGGAACCAATTAAAGTTCTTTATTGTTCATGGAATTAATGAAATTGACCGGATTGGGTGGCGCAAATACATCACTACCCTTCCCTTAAAGAGAAGCCTATACTTGGCCTCGGAGTGATGGATATAGTACGGGTAAAGGAGCTTCTTCCATTTCTATTTGTTGTGGTATGTTTGGATTTTTTCTTAATTCTAATTTTGCGTACAACATCATAAATGGGTTAAACGATACGTATCTTAAATATAAGTACAATAAAATAAGTGTAATGATGACAATAGTCATTAATATGTAAAGTGTAACGTTGTTTTGTGAAATTTGTGAAGTTATCAATGTCGTTGTGTTTTACAGTTTTTATTTTTGTTATGGTAAGTGGTGTGTAAGAGATTTAACAGATATTCACTTAAAATTATACTATTGATTTCTATTTTACGTTGTTTCCTTCCATTTTTATATTATTAATTGGATTTTAGCAATTTTGTTTAAGACTTGATTGGGTTAAATTGTGTTTGGTTCTATGAATTTTATTATTTCATCTGTGTGAACTGATTCAAGATTACAAATTGGTTTTAAATGTTTAATGATATTGGTGACACACTCATTGTGCACACACTCATTGTATCATTGTAATTGATCCAAGTGGATGTTTTAATGTTCAAAATATTTTGGCTTTTTACATTCTCAAGCTTGTCGTAGTTTAGTAAGTTGGGGTTAAGCAGTCCGAGTCTGGAATGCTGCATTCCCATTTCCAGGTTCTCTATGTATTCTGTAAACTGCATAAGTTCGTATAAAAGGGTGTTAACGATGTTGTCGTCACTTTCGAATTTCTGTGTCCCCTGCATTTCGTCTTTAATCAATCGTATAGCATCCTTAAGTTCATGTAACTTCACTGTGTCATGGGAGTGTGTCTCAAGTTTTATCTGTATTTCTTTTCATCAAGTGTGCCAAATAGGTATTTAAAAACTTAGCCCACAATGTTAATAAGTCCACGTTTATTTCTATGTTGCAGGGTTATTCCAGTTAGTTCTCTTTTCATCTTATTGTACAAAAATTTGATTTGGGGTGCATGATAGTCGCAACGCAATCTTTGTTCAAAATAGTCAGCTACGGTGTCTATTTCGGTTAAGTTGATCCTCAAACAATGATGTTCAAAGGAGGATGGTATCTGGAATGGTTTACCAAAAAAAAAAGGAGATAGCCGTGGTTGGTGTCAATATTATTAATTTCAATTTACAGTCCACGAACTGTTGTGATCAGCATAAGCAATAATGTCATCAAGTTCCAGGCACCTGTGGAATTGAAATTTGATTATTTTTCTTTCGTTTTTTGAATTTTGTTTTGTAGTAGTGAGTAACTCTATTAGTGATTTTGTAATGGTCGGAGTCCGTTTGCTCCAAATTTTTGGTTGGCTTAAGTGGATTTTCTAATTTGCCTTTCTGTAGTGGGCCTTTTCTGTATCTCGTGTCGACTTCGTATACCATTCTGCCATTCTGTTTATTTTGTTTGCTTTGTTTTGTTGGGTGTCTAATATTGGGAACAAAAGCTTTGAAGGTACAGTTATACTTTTGTTCACAATGAGCGGTCCGTGCCTGGTATGAATAAGAATATTAGTATTCTGGATTGGTAAGTCAAATATGTTTTTGGATGTCTTATGTTTTTTTATTTGTTGTTTTATGGATCTTAGTTTGTATGTATCTTATTAGATTTTTTTTCACTTACTTATTTATTATTCTTATTTTTAGTTTTTGCTCTTAAGATAGATTTCGATTTTCACATGGGTTGCTCTATTGCTTTTTCGTGGGGTTTTGAGGTAACCAATTGGATTTACAGCCTCTCAAAAATTCAATACCGTCTTCCTGATATTAAATTCAGGTTTGTTGGTGACACAGCGTTACACGGTTTCGCGCTATTTTTGAGGTTTCAATCAAAACTTAACACGATATTAACCGTTACACGGTTTCGCGTTATTGTCGAGGTTCTAATAAACACTTTACACGATATTGACCTGCGCATGGGTGTTTAAAAGCGGTATTTTTAGATAGCGATTAAATTGATTTTAACACTATAATGACCGCCAGTTACAAATAAAGGCTACAACAAATTGCCTTGAATATATTAAATGAACCGTTTCATTGCATTGCTCGTTGCATGGGAGCACAGGGTCACCATGCGATGCATCCGGAACGGCCAAAGAAGTCACAAGCGCATCCGCGGCTTAACTGGACAGAAAGCAAGTTAGGTACGTTAGCACCCTCGATGCCCTATTTTCCATGAAGAATATAGAGGATCCGATGGAGCTCGCGAAGACACATTTCAATCTAGGATGTAGGTAGACGACGCAGAAAAGTATCTGTAAGTTGTCTCAGGCATCACTCCTTTACCCCCCTATTGTTGTTCAATTTAGTGATTTTTTTGGTTTTGTTGTTTTCGGCTAGAAATAATAAATGTAATAGCGTATTTAGTGTTAGGAAAGATAATAAGTTTAATAAGTAGAATTAAAATAGATTAATGTTTAGGAAATACAACTGACCACAAGAACTCACCCGTCAGAAGGTCAGCCACATAGAGAGGAAGATGGCGCAGGCGGTAGCTGTGTGCAGTGTGTCCCCCACCCCGTGGAATCGCAATATCGCGTCGACGGTGAACGCTGCGGTGACCCAGGGTGGCGGTGTCGGACAACGTCAGTCGGGCATTTCAGGAGGAGATTCGCCGCGGGTTCCTCGAAATGATGAGCATGATCAACGAGCTGGTTCAGCCGTTTAAGCAAACGGCAGCCCCCGTAAAAATGTTACAACAGCAGTAAAAAAAAAAGGTTGCAAGACGAGGACGAAGGTGGCCACGGACATGGAGGAGCGAACGAACGCCAGGAGGCGATAGGATCATACCCCAAGGCCAAGCCAGAGGGGGAGCATTACCGGACTTCTCCACCCAAACCGCCGACGGCACGCGACGGATTCTCGGAGATGGAAGCGGCGCAGAAGCGGCGGAGACCGGCACCGATTTCAGGCGGGTTACGGGATGCGGAGCGTCAGCACGGAGGGTCTTCGAGGTCATGAAAGGAGAGAAGATGCGGTGAGAGGCGTCAGGATTGAGAAATTGGAGATATTCTTCGACGGCGACCAGAACAAACTCGCCATAGAGGATTTTGTGTTCCGGGTAGAATACGTGCAGAAGCAGTCTCGGTGTTCGTAAGACCAGGTGCTGGGTAGCATCTACCAGCTGATGCGAGGCCAGGCTGCTGAGTGGTACTGGCAGTACGTCCGTGAGCCACATACCGCGGCAAAGTTCCAAACGAGCGGACGGCATGTGGAAGAGGAGACCATAGAATAACCCGAAGGCGAAGCGGGAGTGGAGGATCCGTGCATCCGAAGAAGTTTCTCGGCCCATGTTGTGCTTCTGGAACTGTGGGCAGCCAGACCACGGATTTCGTGACTGCGCCTCGCCGGAGAGGAAGCCGGAGGTGGTAACTCGTAAGTGCTATATTCGGGAAACGGGAGGACGAGCGCCGGGAAGTGGGAGACCCGCGCTCGAAATACAATCCCAGTCGCAACTAATTCCTCCGTCTAAGCTACCAACAATTGCCAACATTTCCCAGTTTAGGAAATAATAAAATAATCAATAATACCAGCAGAGGAACGGATGCACAGGTACCTCGAGATTCGGAAAAGAAATTTTGCGAGTCACCAAGTAGACGGGATGCGGAGCGTCAGCCGGAGCCAGATCCCGCTTTCGGCAGAGGCACCAAATGCGACGTGCTGAGACAGTGGTGCGAAGGCCGGACAAAAATAGGTTCTGCTGGAACGCACGGAAGCTAAACAACCTTACCGTGAAAGACGCTTATCCGCTGCCATGCATCGAGGGAATCCGGTCCAAAATCGAGCGAACCCACTATATTTCAAGTGTGGTCTTCAAATTCTTATTCTGACAGGTGGAACTGGACCCCGAAAGCCGACCGTACACCGCGTTTACGGTTGCCGGGAGACCCTTTGTCCCAATTTGCAATCATGCCGTTCGGCGTGTGCAATGCGGCGCAGAGGCGCCTGATGGACAAGGTGATTCCCGCGCAGTTGAGATCGAACGTCTTTGACTACCTCGACGATCTGCTCACCCATCTGAGGTACCTGCGGTTGGTAGCGGAATGCCTGAAAAAAACAAATTTGAGGCGTTAAAATACCTCGGATTCATTACACTTCGGATGGACATGGACAGGATCATCGCAATCCAGAAG